ATTTACTAAAGCACTTCCATATTAACCTCAAATATAAACTGGGAGAAGTTTAATAATTCCTAAGTGCTTGGATTCTGTAGTAATTCTGTTTGAACTCGTAGTGCCGCTGTTGACCATGATGTCTAATAACAGCAGTTTGTTGCTGCACCTCCAAGCATCGCCATTATGAAAAGGAACACGACACGATCCGAGGACCGCTCCAGTTCTCTGATTTATATTATAAAAGGAAACACGGAAGATTGAAGCTCCGCAGTTTTTAAAGGAAGCATTTTTCACGTTTATTGTGTGACTGGGATTTATTTTTTTTACTGGATTTATTAAAAAGGAAGCTCTGGATTTAATTTCAGACAACAATGGAAAGGCAAGTGGCGCTGCTCTTCTTTCTCCTCTCATTCGGCTTTGTGCTCGGGCAGGTCAGCTACACAATCCCAGAAGAAATGTCAAAAGGATCTTTAGTTGGTAACATAGCTCATGATCTAGGTTTACAACTTAGCCGTTTAAAGTCGGGAAAAGCGCGGATTTTTACCAGAGACAGCGAGGAGTTCGTGGAGCTGAACAGAGAGAGAGGAGTCCTCCTCGTTAAAGAAAGGATCGACAGAGAGGCGCTCTGCAAACAGACGACGCCCTGTGCGTTACATTTTCAGATTATTCTAGAAAACCCCATGGAGTTTTATACTGTCACAATTCAGGTTACAGATATTAATGATAATCCACCTATATTTGGAAAACGCGAAATGAAGTTTAAGATCAGTGAGTCGGCGGTGATCGGAGCTACTTTTGTTCTGGAGAGAGCTGTGGATCTGGATGTCGGTGTTAATAATCTGAAGAGCTACAATCTGAAACCAACTGATAATTTTGCTCTGAAGCTACACAACAGCGCTGATGGAAACAAAAACGTAGAGATGGTTTTACAGAAGCCTTTAGACAGAGAGAAGCAGGAGCAGATCAATCTGGTGCTAACGGCTGTAGATGGAGGAGAGCCGCAGATGTCAGGAACGATGCAGATTGTTATTACAGTCTTAGACGCTAATGATAATGCTCCTGTTTTTACACAGAAAACATACAAAGCTACAGTTACTGAAAACTCACCTAAAGGCACCGTTGTTGCTACAGTTACAGCATCAGATGCAGATGAAGGCTCTAACAGTAAAATAACATATTCTATTACTAACGCGTTAGAAGATATCATTAACATATTCAAAGTAAACGAGGATAACGGTAAAGTTACTCTAATAGGAAATACAGATTTTGAAAATTCGAGAAGCTACCAGATACATTTACTTGCTAGTGATGAAGGAGGGCTCACAGATTCTTGTAAATTAATCGTTGACGTGCAGGACATGAACGATAACAGCCCTGAAATAAAGATCATGTCCAAATCCACTGTTATATCAGAGGATGTCAAATTAAATACAGTTGTTACGATAATAAGCGTGGATGATGAAGACTCTGGAAACAACGGAAAAGTAAATTGCTTTATCAATGAGAATATGCCTTTTATTTTAACATCATCCTCAAATAATTTCTATAGTTTAGTGACAGACAGCGAGTTAGACAGGGAGAGAATCTCTGAGTATAACATCACGGTGAGCTGCTCTGATGAAGGAGTGCCCTCCCTCTCCAGCAGCGTCACTCTCACCTTACAGATCTCTGATGTGAACGACAACGCGCCTGTCTTTGAGAGGAGCTCATATGAGGCCTACATTGTAGAAAACAACACACCAGGTCTCTCTATATTCACAGTGAAAGCCACAGACGCTGACTGGAACCAGAATGCCCGTGTTTCTTACATACTGGAGGACTCCTCCGTTAACGGAGTTCCGGTCTCCTCATATGTGTCCGTTAGTGCTGATAGCGGAGTCATCCACGCAGTGCGCTCTTTTGACTACGAGCAGATCAAAGACTTCCGGTTTCACGTTAAAGCGCAGGATGGAGGCTCTCCTCCTCTCAGCAGCAACGTGACTGTGAAAATACTGATCCAGGACCAGAACGATAACCCCCCTCAGGTCCTGTACCCGGTCCAGACTGGAGGATCCGTGGTGGCTGAGATGGTGCCTCGTTCAGCAGACGTGGGCTATCTGGTGACTAAAGTGGTGGCTGTTGATGTGGACTCTGGACAGAACGCCTGGCTCTCCTATAAACTGCAGAAAGCCACAGACAGGGCGCTGTTTGAAGTGGGCTTACAGAATGGAGAAATCAGAACTATCCGTCAAGTGACTGATAAAGATGCTGTGAAACAAAGACTGACTGTTATAGTGGAGGACAACGGCCAGCCCTCTCGTTCAGCTACAGTCATTGTTAACGTGGCGGTGGCGGACAGCTTCCCTGAAGTGCTGTCGGAGTTCACTGACTCTACACACGACAAGGAGTACAACGACAACCTGACTTTTTACTTAGTCTTGGCTCTGGCTGTAGTTTCCTTCCTCTTCATCACCTGTTTGGTGGTTATCATCTCAGTGAAAATCTACAGATGGAGACAGTCTCGCATCCTGTATCACTCCAGCCTCCCCGTCATTCCATATTATCCACCACGTTACTCAGACACGCTGGGGACAGGAACTCTCCAACATGTGTACAACTACGAGGTGTGCAGGACCACTGACTCCAGAAAGAGTGACTGTAAGTTCGGCAGAGCTGCTAGTCAGAACGTGTTGGTAATGGACCCCAGCTCTACAGGAACCATGCAGAGGATGCAGGGTGAGAAGAGCATCCTGGATGAGCCTGACTCTCCTTTAGAGGTTAGTTAAAATGATCCACATACATTTTTAATTATATTAAATGGGGTGCTGATTATCAGTCAGTTGCAGTCAGCACCATGGACAGAGTCACTGGCATTGCCTATACATTTTCTCTTCCCCTTGTTATTTTTGCACTAGATCTATCTATCATCCATCTATCTATCTATCTATCTATCTATCTATCTATCTATCTATCTATCTATCTATCTATCTATCTATCTATCTATCTATCTATCTATCTATCTATCTATCTATCTATCTATCTATCTATCTATCTATCTATCTATCTATCTATCTATCATATATCTATCTATCTATCTATCTATCTATCTATCTATCTATCTATCTATCTATCTATCTATCTATCTATCTATCTATCTATCTATCTATCTATCTATCTATCTATCTATCTATCTAATCAGCGTGTTATATGATTTGACCACCTTACATAAAAAATATTGAATCCATTTTCGTAACAGAAAATTGTTAGCAGTTTTTTAGATTGACTTCCACCCTTTTAAACACTTCAGTAATTGTTTCAGTCTTCTGCTTTTTTACTTGGTTGTGTTTATGTGAGGGAAAACACTTCTATCCATTTATTTTATTAACCCCTGCATCAAAAATCGGTGTTGACATAATTTTTAACTCCTTACTTACTTTTTTAGTGTTCAGTTTTAAATTTCCTCATATATATTTTTTTTCTTCTTCGCCATTAGTGGGTTTAGAAGTTTTTAATATACTGTATTTAAATACATTGCTACAATATTTGAATTTTTCTCGTCACAAGATCCCATAGCTAATGTTCTTCACTCTCTAACCTAACCCCTTAATCTAATGTGATGCATTTCCATTCGTTCTAAAAGTTTTACTTAAATTGCGCACTCATTGTCCCGGATAAATCCACATTGCATTTCTTGTTTCAGCACGCTGGAGAGCAACACTCGGAACTTCTCTCTCATACCTCTAATTTTGTAGTTTTGAGATGTGTTAATAACTTTTCATTGATTAGAATACAAATAATTTATTAGTTATGAAAACAGCATTTCTCTCTCTCATCTGCAGCCTTTATGCGCGCTAGCATGTTCTCCTCCTCTATGTGCGGATTGTGTACTCCGGTTAGCTCCCTCTGACCAAAAACACACGTCATTTGAGATGAAAAGTTCAAAGTGCCTTTATACATATATGTTAGCTTCTGTGTCTCATTTTGGCATGGAGCTAGACGGGGGACCTGTCCAGAGTGTTTCCTGCCGCTCGTCTGATGGCCGCACCGCATAAATTAGGCCCCAGCTCCCTGCGAGCTTAAAGAGGATGAAACGGTTCAGGAAAAACACAGATAAATTATTAGAACGAGGACAGTATAAACACAGAGATCTTTAAACTTAAGTTTTGTTCTGACATATTTGAATTGGTTAATGTTTTATAAACATCTTTTTTAAAATGCCCGCGATATTTTTGCAAGTTCTTAAAAACAGCAAATAAACAGTGACGTTTATCTTTATTCTGTAGTAATTCAGTTTTAACTCGTAGTGCCGCTGTTGACCATGATGTCAAATAGCAGTTTGTTGCTGCACATCCCAGCATCGCCATAATGAAAAGGACACGACACGATCAGAGGACCGCTCCAGTTCTCTGATTGTGTGGTAAAGGAAACACGGAAGATTGGAGCTCCGTTGTTTTTAAAGGAAACAAATTCAAGTCGATTGTGGGACTGGGATTTTAATTACTCTTACTGGATTTATTAAAAAGGAATTGCTCTGGATTTAAACTCAGACAACAATGGACAGGCAAGTGACGCTGCTCATCTTTCTCCTCTCCTTTGGCTTTGTGCTCGGGCAGGTCAGCTACATCATCCCAGAAGAAATGTCAAAAGGATCTTTAGTTGGTAACATAGCTCATGATCTAGGTTTACAAATTAGCCGTTTAAAATCGGGAAAAGCGCGGATTTTTACACCAGACAGCGAGGAGTTCGTGGAGCTGAACAGAGAGAGAGGAGTCCTCCTCGTTAAAGAAAGGATCGACAGAGAGGCGCTCTGCAAACAGACGACACCCTGTGCGTTACATTTTCAGATTATTCTAGAAAACCCCATGGAGTTTTATACTGTCACAATTCAGGTTACAGATATTAATGATAATCCACCTATATTTGGAAAACGCGAAATGAAGTTTAAGATCAATGAGTCGGCGGTGATCGGAGCTACTTTTGTTCTGGAGAGAGCTGTGGATCTGGATGTCGGCGTTAATAATCTGAAGAGCTACAATCTGAAACCAACTGATAATTTCGCTCTGAAGCTACACAACAGCGCTGAAGGAAACAAAAACGTAGAGATGGTTTTACAGAAGCCTTTAGACAGAGAGAAGCAGGAGCAGATCAATCTGGTGTTAACGGCTGTAGATGGAGGAGAGCCGCAGATGTCAGGAACGATGCAGATTGTTATTACAGTCTTAGACGCTAATGATAATGCTCCTGTTTTTACACAGAAAACATACAAAGCTACAGTTACTGAAAACTCACCTAAAGGCACCGTTGTTGCTACAGTTACAGCATCAGATGCAGATGAAGGCTCTAACAGTAAAATAACATATTCTATCACTAACGCGTTAGAAGATATCATTAACATATTTCAAGTAAATGAGAATAACGGTAAAGTTACTCTAATAGGAAATACAGATTTTGAAAATTCGAGAAGCTACCAGATACGTTTGCTTGCTAGTGATGAAGGAGGACTCACAGATTCTTGTAAATTAATCGTTGACGTGCAGGACACGAACGATAACAGCCCTGAAATAAAGATCATGTCCAAATCCACTGTTATATCAGAGGATGTCAAATTAAATACAGTTGTTACGATGATCAACATAAAAGATAAAGACTCTGAACAAAACGGAAAAGTGAAATGCTCCATAAATGAGAATGTCCCTTTTATTTTAACATCATCCTCAAATAATTTCTACAGTTTAGTGATGGACAGCGAGTTAGACAGGGAGAGAGCCTCTGAGTACAACATCACGGTGAGCTGCTCTGATGAAGGAGTGCCCTCCCTCTCCAGCAGCGTCACTCTCACCTTACAGATCTCTGATGTGAACGACAACGCGCCTGTCTTTGAGAGGAGCTCATATGAGGCCTACATTGTAGAAAACAACACACCAGGTCTCTCTATATTCACAGTGAAAGCCACAGACGCTGACTGGAACCAGAATGCCCGTGTTTCTTACATACTGGAGGACTCCACCGTTAACGGAGTTCCGGTCTCCTCATATGTGTCCGTTAGTGCTGATAGCGGGGTCATCCACGCAGTGCGCTCTTTTGACTACGAGCAGATCAAAGACTTCCGGTTTCACGTTAAAGCGCAGGATGGAGGCTCTCCTCCTCTCAGCAGCAACGTGACTGTGAAAATACTGATCCAGGACCAGAACGATAACCCCCCTCAGGTCCTGTACCCGGTCCAGACTGGAGGCTCCGTGGTGGCTGAGATGGTGCCTCGTTCAGCAGAAGTGGGCTATCTGGTGACTAAAGTGGTGGCTGTTGATGTGGACTCTGGACAGAACGCCTGGCTCTCCTATAAACTGCAGAAAGCCACAGACAGAGCGCTGTTTGAAGTGGGCTTACAGAATGGAGAAATCAGAACTATCCGTCAAGTGACTGATAAAGATGCTGTGAAACAAAGACTGACTGTTATAGTGGAGGACAACGGCCAGCCCTCTCGTTCAGCTACAGTCATTGTTAACGTGGCGGTGGCGGACAGCTTCCCTGAAGTGCTGTCGGAGTTCACTGACTCTACACACGACAAGGTGTACAACGACAACCTGACTTTTTACTTAGTCTTGGCTCTGGCTGTAGTTTCCTTCCTCTTCATCACCTGTTTGGTGGTTATCATCTCAGTGAAAATCTACAGATGGAGACAGTCTCGCATCCTGTATCACTCCAGCCTCCCTGTCATTCCATATTATCCACCACGTTACTCAGACACACTGGGGACAGGAACTCTCCAACATGTGTACAACTACGAGGTGTGCAGGACCACTGACTCCAGAAAGAGTGACTGTAAGTTCGGCAGAGCTGCTAGTCAGAACGTGTTGGTAATGGACCCCAGTTCTACAGGAACCATGCAGAGGATGCAGGGTGAGAAGAGCATCCTGGATGAGCCTGACTCTCCTTTAGAGGTTAGTTAAAATGATCCACATACATTTTTTATAATATTATATGGGGTGCTGATTATCAGTCAGTTGCAGTCAGCACCATGGACAGAGTAACTGGCATTGCCTATACATTTTCTCTTCCCCTTGTTATTTTTGCACTAAATCTATCTTTATCTATCTATCTATCTATCTATCTATCTATCTATCTATCTATCTATCTATCTATCTATCTATCTATCTATCTATCTATCTATCTATCTATCTATCTATCTATCTATCTATCTATCTATCTATCTATCTATCATCTATCTATCTATCTATCTATCTATCATCTATATATCTATCATCTATCTATCAGCTATGTGTCTGTCTGTCTGTCTGTCTGTCTGCGTCTTATATGATTTGACCACCTTACATAAAAAATATTGAATCCATTTTCGTAACAGAAAATTGTTAGCAGTTTTTTTAGATTGACTTTCACCCTTTTAAACACTTCAGTAAACGTTTCAGTCTTCTGCTTTTTTACTTGGTTGTGTTTATGTGAGGGAAAACACTTCTATCCATTTATTTTATGAACCCCTGCATCAAAAATCGGTGTTGACATAATTTTTAACTCCTTACTTACTTTTTTAGTGTTCAGTTTTAAATGTCCTCATATATTTTTTTTCTTCTTCGCCATTAGTGGGTTTAGAAGTTTTTAATATACTGTATTTAAATACATTGCTACAATATTTGAATTTTTCTCGTCACAAGATCCCATAGCTAATGTTCTTCACTCTCTAACCTAACCCCTTAATCTAATGTGATGCATTTCCATTCGTTCTAAAAGTTTTACTTAAATTGCGCACTCATTGTCCCGGATAAATCCACATTTCATTTCTTGTTTCAGCACGCTGGAGAGCAACACTCGGAACTTCTCTCTCATACCTCTAATTTTGTAGTTTTGAGATGTGTTAATAACTTTTCATTGATTAGAATACAAATAATTTATTAGTTATGAAAACAGCATTTCTCTCTCTCATCTGCAGCCTTTATGCGCGCTAGCATGTTCTCCTCCTCTATGTGCGGATTGTGTACTCCGGTTAGCTCCCTCTGACCAAAAACACACGTCATTTGAGATGAAAAGTTCAAAGTGCCTTTATACATATATGTTAGCTTCTGTGTCTCATTTTGGCATGGAGCTAGACGGGGGACCTGTCCAGAGTGTTTCCTGCCGCTCGTCTGATGGCCGCACCGCATAAATTAGGCCCCAGCTCCCTGCGAGCTTAAAGAGGATGAAACGGTTCAGGAAAAACACAGATAAATTATTAGAACGAGGACAGTATAAACACAGAGATCTTTAAACTTAAGTTTTGTTCTGACATATTTGAATTGGTTAATGTTTTATAAACATCTTTTTTTAAATGCCCGCGATATTTTTGCAAGTTCTTAAAAACAGCAAATAAACAGTGACGTTTATCTTTATTCTGTAGTAATTCAGTTTTAACTCGTAGTGCCGCTGTTGACCATGATGTCAAATAGCAGTTTGTTGCTGCACATCCCAGCATCGCCATAATGAAAAGGACACGACACGATCAGAGGACCGCTCCAGTTCTCTGATTGTGTGGGAAAGGAAACACGGAAGATTGGAGCTCCGTTGTTTTTAAAGGAAACAAATTCAAGTCGATTGTGGGACTGGGATTTTAATTACTCTTACTGGATTTATTAAAAAGGAATTGCTCTGGATTTAAACTGAGACAACAATGGACAGGCAAGTGACGCTGCTCATCTTTCTCCTCTCCTTTGGCTTTGTGCTCGGGCAGGTCAGCTACATCATCCCAGAAGAAATGTCAAAAGGATCTTTAGTTGGTAACATAGCTCATGATCTAGGTTTACAAATTAGCCGTTTAAAATCGGGAAAAGCGCGGATTTTTACACCAGACAGCGAGGAGTTCGTGGAGCTGAACAGAGAGAGAGGAGTCCTCCTCGTTAAAGAAAGGATCGACAGAGAGGCGCTCTGCAAACAGACGACGCCCTGTGCGTTACATTTTCAGATTATTCTAGAAAACCCCATGGAGTTTTATACTGTCACAATTCAGGTTACAGATATTAATGATAATCCACCTATATTTGGAAAACGCGAAATGAAGTTTAAGATCAGTGAGTCGGCGGTGATCGGAGCTACTTTTGTTCTGGAGAGAGCTGTGGATCTGGATGTCGGTGTTAATAATCTGAAGAGCTACAATCTGAAACCAACTGATAATTTTGCTCTGAAGCTCCACAACAGCGCTGATGGAAACAAAAACGTAGAGATGGTTTTACAGAAGCCTTTAGACAGAGAGAAGCAGGAGCAGATCAATCTGGTGTTAACGGCTGTAGATGGAGGAGAGCCGCAGATGTCAGGAACGATGCAGATTGTTATTACAGTCTTAGACGTTAATGATAATGCTCCTGTTTTTACACAGAAAACATACAAAGCTACAGTTACTGAAAACTCACCTAAAGGCACCGTTGTTGCTACAGTTACAGCATCAGATGCAGATGAAGGCTCTAACAGTAAAATAACATATTCTATCACTAACGCGTTAGAAGATATCATTAACATATTTCAAGTAAATGAGAATAACGGTAAAGTTACTCTAATAGGAAATACAGATTTTGAAAATTCGAGAAGCTACCAGATACGTTTGCTTGCTAGTGATGAAGGAGGGCTCACAGATTCTTGTAAAATAATCGTTGACGTGCAGGACACGAACGATAACAGCCCTGAAATAAAGATCATGTCCAAATCCACTGTTATATCAGAGGATGTCAAATTAAATACAGTTGTTATGATGATCAACATAAAAGATAAAGACTCTGAACAAAACGGAAAAGTGAAATGCTCCATAAATGAGAATATGCCTTTTATTTTAACATCATCCTCAAATAATTTCTACAGTTTAGTGACAGACAGCGAGCTAGACAGGGAGAGAGCCTCTGAGTATAACATCACGGTGAGCTGCTCTGATGAAGGAGTGCCCTCCCTCTCCAGCAGCGTCACTCTCACCTTACAGATCTCTGATGTGAACGACAACGCGCCTGTCTTTGAGAGGAGCTCATATGAGGCCTACATTGTAGAAAACAACACACCAGGTCTCTCTATATTCACAGTGAAAGCCACAGACGCTGACTGGAACCAGAATGCCCGTGTTTCTTACATACTGGAGGACTCCACCGTTAACGGAGTTCCGGTCTCCTCATATGTGTCCGTTAGTGCTGATAGCGGAGTCATCCACGCAGTGCGCTCTTTTGACTACGAGCAGATCAAAGACTTCCGGTTTCACGTTAAAGCGCAGGATGGAGGCTCTCCTCCTCTCAGCAGCAACGTGAGTGTGAAAATACTGATCCAGGACCAGAACGATAACCCCCCTCAGGTCCTGTACCCGGTCCAGACTGGAGGCTCCGTGGTGGCTGAGATGGTGCCTCGTTCAGCAGAAGTGGGCTATCTGGTGACTAAAGTGGTGGCTGTTGATGTGGACTCTGGACAGAACGCCTGGCTCTCCTATAAACTGCAGAAAGCCACAGACAGGGCGCTGTTTGAAGTGGGCTTACAGAATGGAGAAATCAGAACTATCCGTCAAGTGACTGATAAAGATGCTGTGAAACAAAGACTGACTGTTATAGTGGAGGACAACGGCCAGCCCTCTTGTTCAGCTACAGTCATTGTTAACGTGGCGGTGGCGGACAGCTTCCCTGAAGTGCTGTCGGAGTTCACTGACTCTACACACGACAAGGTGTACAACGACAACCTGACTTTTTACTTAGTCTTGGCTCTGGCTGTAGTTTCCTTCCTCTTCATCACCTGTTTGGTGGTTATCATCTCAGTGAAAATCTACAGATGGAGACAGTCTCGCATCCTGTATCACTCCAGCCTCCCTGTCATTCCATATTATCCACCACGTTACTCAGACACGCTGGGGACAGGAACTCTCCAACATGTGTACAACTACGAGGTGTGCAGGACCACTGACTCCAGAAAGAGTGACTGTAAGTTCGGCAGAGCTGCTAGTCAGAACGTGTTGGTAATGGACCCCAGCTCTACAGGAACCATGCAGAGGATGCAGGGTGAGAAGAGCATCCTGGATGAGCCTGACTCTCCTTTAGAGGTTAGAATTCCTTCTTTTTAAGAAGCCTTTTTTCTTCCATCTGTTTAAAATCAAATTCCGTTCATATTTTATGTAATCATTGCTGAAAATCTATAAAAATAACAGAAACATCAACTATTTATTTATCATTATTAATAGTTTTATTATTATTATTATTATTATTAGTAGTAGTAGTAGTAGTAGTAGTAGTAGTAGTAGTAGTAGTAGTAGTAGTAGTAGTAGTGGTGGTAGTAGTAGTAGTAGTAGTAGTAGTAGTAGTAGTAGTAGTAGTAGTAGTAGTAGTAGTAGTAGTAGTAGTAGTAGTAGTAGTAGTATTAATACATCAACAATTATAATGCATATTTATAAATTAATAATAATATTTACAATAACAATGTTAAATTGACCTCTAAATGTTTTTTCTTTAATAATAATT